CCCACATGACAACTAGCTGAAAGTCTGGAGCAATTTAGATGGCCGAGCCATACGGCACCCAGCCACTAAACTTATCAAAACACCTAATGGGAAGCAGCTTCAAATTCAACGACATTCAAGGGCGCACCAAGGACACTTGGAAAATTTCTCAGGGCACCCAAGGACACCGAATGGCAACCACGCCCCACCTTCTCCGGAAAATTTTCACCAAGTTTCAAATGGCCCAGCTCCAATTTCAAGTGATCAAGTATTTCGCACCAGCTGCACAGGCCCACAAAAGTGCTCCCCAAACTGATCGCACCGAAGGCCCAGCAGCTCCCCTTTGAGATGTGGCCTAGGCCTCTTCCAAAACAGCCCACACCGAAGGACTACCAACAAACAAAGATCATCAAAACGAATCCTAGGCCACTTGCCGAACGGCAAGCATGGTGCAGAAGGCAGAAGGAGGCTCACGAAAAATCTCCTTAGGTCCAGGCTCTGCCCAGCTCCACGGCAAATCCAGCTCCAAATCCCAGCTGTTGTTGCAGCCTTCTCCTTTCTCTAAACACTAACTAAGGGCCCAAGATCACCTTCCAAAGGCCTAGCTCCACTCGACAAACTATTCAGCAAGGTCTGAACACCTGCCGAAGGTTCAGAGCACAACAGAAAATCAGATATCAACGCTCCAAATCAGCTTGCCAAAGACCCCAACACTTTCCACGAGGTCTTAAAATTTCTCAAGCCACCCTTGCCGAACGTCAGGGGTTGAGCTTTGGATAGAAACAACTCCTCCTGCCGAAACAAAAAGGCCCAGCCACGCTTTAAAAGGGGAAGGCCCAGCTCCAGTGACTTCCCAACACATCAGCTCTGACTTTTTCGTGTCTTGCTGAAGCCCCAGCTACACGGACAGCCCAGCTCCTTGGCCAACAACAAAGTGCTCAGGTCGCAGCTCACGCAGGGGCCCAGCCCCGACTTTCTCTCCTTGACTTCAAGATCCCAGCTATTCGGACTCACGGTTGCAGACCCCTGCCGAACCTAGCTCCAATCTCCTTCTCAAAATCCCAAAAATTGCAACGGACCCAGCTCCAAAGTAATCAAGACCCCAGCCCGTGCACTTACTTCAGCTCCAGCTCATTCTCACTGGTCAAATCTGCCCAGTTCCAAGAGCCTTGCCAAACCCCGAAGCAATCAAGCACTTTTTGCCTAACGGCCTAGCTCCATGCAACCTGCCGAATAAACAACACACAAAGATAATCAAAAAGGTCCTAGGTCACTTGCCGAACGGCAAGGACCATGAAAAATCCAAATGGGGACTCATGAAATTCTCAAGGTGTCAAGACTGCCTACCCGACTCCAATTCTCGGCTCACCGACACAGCTAAGCTCACCAAGACCAAGGCCCAGGTCACCACCTTGCCAAATACCCACCTGCTGAATTTGCTCTAGACACCCAACTCGGAAGGAGAGCCCAATCCGTGCCCTTTCTTTCCTTGCCAAGGCTTGGGTGCCCGGACCCAAGGATCCAGACCCTTGCCAAACCCGAAACTGATCAGGACACCCATTTACCAACTCTGCCCAAACAGCCCAGCTCACACTAAATTGCTTAGCTCACCTAGCTTCCATCTTGCCGAAGCTGGAAATATCCCAGCTCACGAAATGCAGAGAAAAAATTGAAGGACTCACGAAGTTCCTTCTTGTCAAGATCTGCAACCTCCAAATCCAAGCTCCAAATCCTTGCTGCTGGTGAAACCTCCTCCTTGGAGCTCAGCCAACTTGCCAACGTGTGAAGCCCAGCTCCTGGACAATCCAAGAGTTTCAACAGCCACAACAAGACAAAAAACTGAAGACAAAAAGTTTCGAATGGAACCTGCCGAACGGCAAGTTCCGTGCCGAATCAAACGGAAAGGCCACAACAGCAAAACTCACCAAGCCTTGCCGAAGGCCTAGCTCATATTGCCTAGCAAAGCACTGGAGGCCCGGCTCTGCCCTTCGAAAACTCCCAGGTCCCTTGCCGAACGGCAACTGCCGTGGAGACCCTTGCCAAGAGCTCGTCTCGAAGACCAGGCTCCTTCCTCTCACCCCAGCCCTTGTCCAGACTTCGGAAGGAGATCGTGCCAAGTGGTGTGCACGGACCGTTCGAGAAGGACCGGACGACCCAAGGTCTTCACGATCCGGCTCCTTTTGCCCAGCACCCGATCTCGGCTCCGTCGAGCCCGCAGCTACCTCTTAGCCCAGCTTCAAATTCACAAACAACCTGCAGAAGGGGAGGAGTTCAAAATGGCCTTAGCTCAGCCTTGCCGAAGGAAGAGGAAGCTCCAATCTCCTACACCAGACTTAGCTACAAAAACAAGTCCCAACCATTGCTTGCCGAACGGCAAGAGCCGTTAACACCTATTTATATACCCCCCTCTAAAAGACCAAGCCCTAGCCCTTCTATCCCAGTCTTGGCCTCCTTACCGAAGGTACAAAGTCCCAGCTACAATATCACAGGGGCTAGGCTAGCCACACATAATGTACCTAGCCTTTTCTCATTTCAACTTGCCGAACGGCAGGTTCCGTAAAACAAATAAAAAGGAGGCACACCAATCCTCCTCTAAACCTAGCACCCTACTATAGCCAAGGCCTCACAACTAAACTCACGGGCTCAGCCCCTTGTTACCTTTTCCTTTTTTGCCAAAGCCCCAGCTCACCTTGGGCCACTTTTACCATGGCAGCCCCTAATTTCAGACGCCCCAATGGCCCAACCCCAATTACCAAAAGCATTGGAGGCCCAGCCCCCGACTGGCCAAGACCCTTGAATTCCAAGCCTAGCCTAAAACTGTCTTGGCTTCCTTGCCGAACGGCAACACCTATGAAACTTTTTGGGAAGGGTCACAACTATTCTCCCTCCAAAAAAATCAAGAAAAACCAAGAAATGGCCAGCTCCAAAAAATCACGAAATGGCCAGCTCCAAGTCACGGCCCAGCTTCATTCTCGGGTTCCCCGTGCTCCATGTTCACGCCAAAACTGCCACTAAAACCACGGACCCAAGACTTGCCGAAGCTATGACCAACAACTCTCAAACACCCCCTTCCGAATCTGCCCCTCCAGGTTCAGCCACTACTCAAAACCTCAAATTTTTTCTCTAGGCACCCTGCCGAACCTTCGAACCAGCCCCGCTCTTGAATCAGCCCTCACAGCTCAACTTCCAAAAGCTTGAACACACCTTTGCGGAACCAATCTATGGAGCCAAGCTCACCAAGATACCGAAGGCCCAGCTCCAATCTCTCTGACAGGGCACGGTTCCAGCTCACCGAACAGCAAGGTTCTTGCTGAAAGCTCTGAAAAACTCGATTTTCCTCCCTCAAAATAACCACATCGAAGCAACCCCAGCTCCAGCATGTATCAGCCCCTCACAAAAGCCCCTAACCCACCCTTGCCGAACGGCAAGGGCTGTGAGAGTCCGACTCCGAGCTCGTGGATGCCTTGCCGACACTCCAAGAAGAACCAGCCCGGCTTCACCCTCCTACCGAAGCCTCAATGGGGTGCCCGACTGCTGAAGGACCAGCTCTTTCGACAATAACCTTGCCGAAGGAAGAGGAAGCTACAAAAAAAAAATGTCTTAGCTCTCTCTTGCCGAACGGCAAGAGCTTTTGAAACTAATTTATCTACTCTCTTAAAAAATTCCTACCCTAGCTCACCACATCTCTTGGCCCTTGCCGAAGCCTAGCTCCAGGACTTTGCCAATCTATTAAGGCCCAGCCTTTAAAACCCCCAAAACTTGGTCAAGAACCTAAAGATACCCCAAGGACCCAGCTCTTTATTTTTTCAAATTTTTTCTCCCTTGCCGAACGACAAGGGCTGTGTACCAGTTATGAGATGCTCTAAGATGGTATCCATAACTCTACTCATCAATCCAAGACAGTGATGTGACCACAACTACCTAATTACGCCAGCTGTAAATTTATTAAGTATTGACTTCGCGAAACTGCAGAAGATTCAACCCAGACCCACAAAGGAGAGATCTTTTCCAAGATACAGATGTGAAGACATAAAACCTTGCCAATCACGTTATGTGGATGATAAATCTATGCTCACAAATCGAAATCAAAGATATTGAAACTCACAAGACAGAAATACCATTTGATGTTTTCAATCCTAACAAGAGTCGTATGAAACCAAGAGTACAAGTTTCACATTTGTGATTACAAATATAAACAGATAATACAAGATATAACATCTTGTTCATTCACGCTATCGAGGGTATACTGCAGTGATAGATATTGATTATTCTTACTTATCATTATTCGCAAGAATATTACAAGTAGAAAGTTTTAACAAAAGAAAAGTCACCACGACGGCTCTAAAGTCAAACTAGTTTTAATGTTTCCGTGTGTTGAAGTGCGCATATCTCACTTCACCTGTCTGTCACCATCTCAGTCAAATTCGTTGAAGAAAAGGAAGGAGACGAAATGACAAAGAAACTATATAAAATAAGACGATGGAGACGGAAGTGCCAAAAGGGATTTAGATGGAGGATTCCACCATGTAATTTTTTCTTCCATTTTACCAAAGGCCAACTTCATATTGTAAAGATTATATTTAGAAAATTGTCATCTGTCTCAACGGGGAACATCAATAGAAATTGTAAAATTATTGGTTGAGCAATTTGGAGCATTTTTTTGATCATGCTGTTCAATAGATCTTCCTGTAAAGAAGGCTGGTCTCTCAGGTCGGGGAAGACTAATAGCTTCACTGTCTAACATTCGAACAATCGATGACATGGTTGGCCTGTTGTTTGCATCTTCTTGAACACACAATAATCCAATATGGAGGTATCTCAAAAATTCATTTGGACTGCACGAATCTTTCAACAACGGATCCATCAACTCCAACCCTTTCGTTTCGTTCCATAATTGCCAACCCTGCAGTAAGTGGATTTTAAGCATGTAAGTAAAAACTCTTACATTGATAGCTACATACATGTATTAGCTAGTTTGAGAAACTTTTTGTATAACTTAACCCAAATAAAGACCTTACATAGCCTATAAGAGTAGGTGCAGAATTTGTTCGATGAAAGCCTAAAAAGTTCCTTCTCCCCGTTATGATCTCAAGCAAAAGTACTCCAAAGCTAAAGACATCAGATTTTACAGAATACAATCCCTCCATAGCATATTCTGGAGCCATGTAACCGCTAATTGCAAGGCCAAAATGATTTACATGTCAGTTTAAAAGTCCAACTATATACAGAAGTAAAATATTAATTAGATAGAGGATGGAACTTACTAGGTGCCGACAATTCTTTTGGTGTTTCCTTGAGTTTGATCATCAACTCCAAACATTCTTGCCATGCCAAAATCTGAAATTTTTGGATTCATATTGCCATCTAACAAGATATTGCTCGCTTTCAAATCACGATGTATAACTCTAAGCCTTGAATCTTCATGAAGATACAGAATTCCTCGAGCAATTCCTCCTATTATCATGCAACGGTGCGACCAATCTAGTTGTTCTCGTTTTTTGTATTCTGCAAACGCCCTTCAATTCAGTAAATACAAGCACAAATATTGTTGTACTTGAGTTAGAAATTGCAAAGTGTTTTTATTAAAATGATGTATTCATACCAAAAAGAAAACAATCAAGACTTCTGTTTGGCACATATTCATAGATGAGTATGGTTTCTTCTCCTTCCAAACAAAATCCTAGAAGCCTGACAAGATTTCTGTGTTGAAGTTTGGCTACCAATGCAACCTCATTCTTAAATTCTTGTACACCCTGTTTGGAGCTCTTCGACAACCTCTTCACTGCTATTTCCTGGCCATTAGCAAGTGTTCCCTGAAAAGGTATACGAGGTATACTTTATCCACTCACTCACATGTTAATTGTCATCTTAATTAAGTTAAGTTTAGACTTGTACAAATTGAACAAAGCAGTGAGCACTGTGTATAAATAAATTCATATCTTCATACCTTGAAAACTACGCCAAATCCGCCTTCACCTAACTTGTTATTCTCAGAAAACTTGTTTGTGGCAGTTTCAATAGTTCCCAAGTCAAATTGTAAGGACGCAACACTCTTTGTATCATAGTCATTCCTACCTAAGCAAGCAAATAATGAGGTTACATGTAAAGAACTCGAAAAACTTGGTGACAAAAAAATGAGGTTATCTAGATTGTACCGTTTTCTTGATTTGGGGCAGTATTGTACTTCTTTCTCATTGATCTTCTGCGTACGAAGAAGTAGCCCAAAGCAACAAGTACCACAGAGATAGCAATGCTGCCGCCAATGAATATGGAAGGTGGAACTCTGCTTCTTCCTCCTGTATGAACAATTAAAAGGTTAGAACCGTTATTAAATTTCAATTAAGATCTTTTGGTTGAATTTTATTTTACAGAGAAAAATTCAAAACTACTTGAATTGAATTTAGTGAGACTCAATTAGATAGTGCGGGGTTGGCAAAAAAAAAATTAGATAGTGGGAGGGACTTTACCTTTAGGCCTGGCCTTGATGGATCCTGGTGGGGGTGGGGGAGGAGGAGAAAGAGCAGGTTCTGGTGCGATGGAGGAGCGGAAGTAGAAGGGGTAGAAGTCAAACCTGAAGTTGCAACTGGGATACAGAGCTCGTCCCCCCGCATCTCTTCTAGGAACTTGTGTTGGGGCTCCCAGAAGACACCAATGGTAATCACCAGAGGAGAGGTCCTGCGTGCACTGCCCAAGCATGTACAGCGAAGTAAACTCTGAAACCTTGGCTTCTTTCGTCGCAAACTTGCGATCTTTATTGGAAGCTTCAGCGGCTATCTCAGAAACGCCCGTTGCCAGTACTTGGTTGAAGCGGTTTTGGTCCGATACATTACCAATTACTTTCCGCGTGTTCCACATGAACAGGGAAGGTGACTCGGCCATGGTGGAAAAGAAGGACTCGTTGGAGTAGCGTAGCATGCAGTCGTCGTACCAGATCACGACCTGTTTCTCGGTGGGGCAGCGCTGAAAGACGTCGGAGGTTGCGGTGGAGACGCAGGATTTGCAAGCGTCGGTGGCGGCGACATCGCCGCGGCAGAGGAAGAGGCCGTAGACGGGGTCGTTTGAGGAGGAGGAGGAGGCGGTGGCGTTGTAGAAGCCGGAGGGGCGGGTGGCGTTGGAGGAGAGGGTTGAGAGGAGGCGGTTGAGGTTGGACTGGAAGGTGGAGTTTGGGGTGAAAGTGGTAGTGTTTTGGCAGACATGGTATAGATAATCAGCTTCAGCTGGGCTGGGAAAGCTGAGCAGAGTAACAACAAATATGGAGGAGAGAATGGAAACAAGCATGAGATTAGTCATGGGAAGCATTTTGACCTGGATGAAGCCGGCCCAGGCCATCCCCTGTGCTTAGCTAATTAAGCTAGCTAGTCCCTCCCTGTTTCTATTTCTCACACCGTCGTCGATTTGAGCTACGGCAGGAGGAGCAACAAGGTCCAAGATAATAGGAATTGCAATGAAGAAGATGAGTAACCTTGAAGAACCCATTTCTTGTTGTATACAAACCAGCAAGAACTTGTGTCTTCAATTATTGGTTTAATAGACTAGTATATTGCCCCAGATGGTTGCTGTTGACCAATCCTCTGCAGTACAATATTGACCAATCCTCTGTTTAAAAACAGAGTTGGGGGGATTATTCAAATAAAAGGACTCCTCTGACTGCTCTTACAGGCTTGTGATAACAGTAATAGTTAGCTAAGAGTTTGTTAGTGTTGGCACGTGTGGCTCACATGTCACAGCTGTAATTAGTTAGTCTGTTAAGCATTAGTTATGGGCTAAACATCTGATATAAAAACAATAGAATATTACGGGGTAATTTTCATTGTATTACTTCCTTGAAATATATACATATATGATCCTTGTTCTACAAGGAAACACTACTCAATAAGGACACAACAATAAATCCTTCCTAATAAAGGACTCCTAGTAGTCACAATATATTTACAAACTTATTTAAATAACTCACGTTTACACTCCCCCTCAAGTTGGTGCATATATATCACACATGCCCAACTTGTCAAGTGAGTTACCAAACTTTCGGCTACATACTGCATGAGTAAGAACATCTGCAAGTTGTCCTTCTGACTCCACAAACGATATTGATACAATCTTCTTCTCAAGCTTCTCTTTGATAAAATGACGATCAACCTCTACATGCTTTGTTCTATCATGCTGTACTGGGTTATCAGCTATGTCCCTTGCTGACTTGTTATCACAAAACAACTTCATGGTATTCTTTGGTTTAAACCCAAGTCCCAAAAGAAGTTTTCGTAGCCAAAGGATTTCGCAGATTCCTTGAGCCATACCTCTATATTCGGCCTCAGCTGAAGACCGTGACACCGCCTTCTGTTTTTTACTTCACCATGTCACCAAATTCCCTCCAACGAAGGTAAAATATCCAGAAGTAGACCGTCTATCAGTTACATCACCTGCCCAATCCGCATCAGTAAACCCTTCAATCCTCAAATGCCCATTTTTTCTATACAAGACTCCTTTTCCAGGTGCCGACTTCAAGTATGCCAAGATACGCATAACAGCAGCCATATGATCCACACTCGGTGAATGCATGAACTGACTCACAACACTCACAGCCTAGGCAGTATCAAGACGAGTATGAGCCAAATAAATCAGTCTCCTTACAAGTCTCTGATATCTACCCTTATCAACTAGTTCCTGCTCCGGATCCAAACACAAATGATGCTTCTCAACAATAGGAGTCTCTACTGGCTTACATCCCAACATACCAGTTTCTTTTAATAAATCCAGTACATACTTACGTTGAGACAAGAAGATACCTTTTGACGAGCGAGCAACTTCAACTCCCAAGAAATACTTCAAATCCCCTAAGTCCTTCATCTCGAATTCGACCGCGAGATTTCCTTGCAACTTGGACATCTCATCAGCATCGTTTCCTGTTATGATCATGTCATCTAGATAGATAATCAAGGCTGTTACTTTATTCTGTCTACGCTTCACAAATAAAGTGTGATCAGAATGACTCTAACAATATCCATTCTTCCTCATGACTTGAGTAAATCTACCAAACCATGCACGGGGCGATTGCTTAAGTCCATAGAGTGACTTACGCAACCGACATACTCCAGTGTTCCCACCATTGCTATATCCAGGAGGAAAATCCATATACACTTCTTCCTCCAAATTCCCATGGAGAAATGCATTCTTCACATCAAACTGTTTTAATGGCCAATCCATGTTTGCAGCTAAAGAGATAAGAACACGTACCGTATTCATCTTGGCAACCGGGGAGAAAGTCTCCTGGTAATCTACCCCATATGTTTGTGTATATCCTTTAGCCACTAACCTTGCTTTGTATCTTTCTACTATTCCATCAACTTTATATTTAACTGTAAACACCCAACGGCATCCCACTGTCTTCTTCCCTACGGGTAGCTGCATCACCTCCCAAGAATTATTTTTCTGCAATGCCAACATTTCCTCATCCATTGCTTTTGCCCATTTCGGATCTTTTAGAGCCTCCTCCACTCGAGTTGGTACATGGATGGACTCCATATTACTCACCAAAGTCTGACGCTCTGGTGCAAGCTTATTGCATGATACATAGTTGGCTATCGGATACTTCACCTTTCCTTCAGGAGAAAACCTATCAGGAAGCACACCTCGATTTTGTCTTGGTGGCAATTTATAAGTACCTACACTTGGATTAGTTACACAATCATTTACGATACTTACCTCAGGCATATTCAAAGAAGATGTATTGGGCGGCACTTCGGAACTAAAGAGAGAAGGTATACTCGGCTCCGCACAGGGTTGCTCAACAACAGGGTCCTTCTCGATAGTAGCTTGCTGAGACTCTTCTAGTATGGGCTCAGTTCCAGGTTCTACACATTGTTCAACAGTCACATCTCCCCCTAGATCCAACCAACTCAGATTACCATCAGTGTTTTCCCCCTGGTGATCTGAAGTTGAAGGTATAGCAGTGTAGAAATATTCTGTTTATGAGAAAGTCACATCCATGGTTACATACATATGTCTGGTCTCAGGATGGTAACATTGATACCCTTTTTGGTGAGACGAGTAACCCACAAAGACACACCGTAGTGCACACGGGTCCAATTTACTACGATGTATTTTCTGAATATAAACATAAGCCACACAACCAAACATTCGAGGAGGGAGAGTATTGTTGGACACCACTAGAGTATGTTGAGTGAAGACCTGAATAGGTGTTTGAAATCCAACCACCCGAGAGGGTATACGATTAATGACATACACGGCATAAGTAACAGCTTCAGGCCAAAACCATGGAGGAACCGAGGCCCCAAGGAGTAAGGCACGGGCTGTCTCCAAAATGTGACGATTTTTACGCGCTGCAACCCCATTTTGTTGTGGGGTATGTGGACATGTAGTTTCATGGAGAATCCCTTGACCACGGTCCGAAAACTCAAAATTAATGTATTCTCCTCCATTATTAGAACGTAGAACTTTAATAACGGAAGAATATTGCGTCTAAACCATCTGAGCAAACGACCGAAATATGGCACCAACATCACTTTTATTTTTCAACACATAAAGCCATGTCATACGAGTGCAGTCATCAATAAATGTAACAAACCACCAAAGGCCAGAATAAGTAACAACTGGAGAAGGCCCCCAAACATCGGAATGCACAAGATCAAATGAAAAAGGTCTTTTATTCATACTAGGAGGAAACGAAGCACGATGGCTTTTAGCAAGAATACATACTTTACAATGTAAGTCTGATTCATTTATTCCATTAAATAAACTAGGCAACAGATGCCTTAAATAACTAAAGGATGCATGGCCTAATCGACGATCCAATAACTATACTTCTTGTAAGTTACTACCACGGAGCACTCGGACTGCATGAGCTCTACCAGGAACGACATCATCCACATAGTACAACTCCTCTCTCTTAGTGCCACGCCTAATTATCTCCTTGGTCTGAATATCCTGAAGTAGACAGAAGGACATATACATTAGAACAACACAATCCAATTGTTCAGTAATCTGTGGTATGGAAAGTAAATGATGTGATAGAGATGGAACAAGCAAACATCGGTGTAAAGGAAGAGAGGCTATGAGATACACAGTACCGGCACCAACAACAGGTGCACGGGTACCATTAGCAGTTGCAATATATTCCCTATGAGATGTTGTCATAGATTGAAACACATTCTTATCGTATGTCATATGATCCGTTGCACCAGAGTCCAGAATCCAACCTGCATGATGCTCAGTGTCGGAGGCCAAAAAAACATGCCCTACAATACCTGCAGTGGAGGATGAATCACCATGGGTAGAACGAGTCAACAAAGTTTGACTCAGATTATTGGAGATAGTCTCATCCTCCTTAGTTTTTGGTGAGGCAGCAGCCAGGGATGCACGGCCTCTATTGTTTCCCCCACTCCCATGCTCCTTTGCACGTACGTTCTTCTTCAATTCTGGGAACCAATCAGGTACCCCATGCTTGGCAAAACACGTATCCTCAGTATGACGGGTTCGTCCACAGAAAGTACACTTCAAATCATCTTTATTTTCTCGGGTAAAGGGACGAGAATTTAAAGACTGATTAGAAGGATTACTAGGACGAAAGGCAACGGCAGGCCGAGAGACCATGGCCATGGACGGCAGCCCTCCTTGGTTGTTACTCCCACTCATCATGGTGGCATGTCTTCGTGCTTCACGCCGAACGATAGAAAACACTTCCTCAACATATGGTAAGGGTTGAGTACGTAGAATATCACTACGTATTTTATCAAAGATATCATCCAAACCCGCCAAAAAGGCATACACACGATCAATTTGAATCTCATCTCGAATGGTCTTGAGATCCACTGCACACTCCATCTTGATTGGTCTTCTTTGATCTAACTCCTGCCAAACGGACTTGAGATCAGCATAATACACACCAACAGGCCGGCCCTCTTGACGGAGTCTGAAAGACTTAACCTTTAATTCATAAATTTGAGAAATATCCGAACCATCATAATAGGTCCGAGCCACCTTTTCCCAAACTTCTTTAGCAGTACGTAGGTGAATAAAAAATCCCATGATAGCAGGTTCCATGGAATTGATCAACCACCCTTTTACGATTGCATTCCCTGTCTCCCATGTCTCATACCCAGCACTATTCTCAGCAGGTTCCTTGGTACTCCCTGTCACAAAGCCTTTCCTACCACGTCCAGCGATGTGCATCTCCAAAACTTTGGACCAAAGAGGATAATTTGATCCATTCAACCTCACTGTGTTTGGTATAGCAAACGCATCATTCTGAATAACAACTGGATTCAATACTGAGGTATTGGTTGGTGTACGAGAGCTACCCTCCAATTTCAAAACAGCACTATCTTCCAAAGAGGCCATCCTTGATGTAGCAATCCACACAGCACAGCCAAATCACACACGGCACTATCACAAACACACCCACACAGCCTGACGTTCTGCAAGGGAATATTGCAA